ATTTTGTTTTTGGTGTATTTTGTTTTGTTTTTAGTGCATTTTGTTTTGTTTTTCGTGTATTTTGTTTGGAAGTCGGTTTTGTTTTTTTTGTTACTAGTTATTTTATACTCAAATTTTTAATAAAAATACCAATAACATTGAGTATCAAAATTATTTTTTATTCTGCCTCCTTATATGATCATCAAACAAAGCCATTATAAATAACTTGGAGACAACCAGTCACTGGAACCAACAATCAGAAAATGTTATTTAACGTGATGTAATGAAAGTCTATTGTTTGGCCACGAATTCAATATTTTACAGTAACCGGAGTTAATGGCATTACGTTCTAACTTTCTACTACATCTTATCGAAATTATTTCATTTGCAATTGTTAAGTTGGATTACAAAACAATTAGCTTATCGACAAACATCGCTGTGCAATTAAAAAAAAATCAAACTCTGTTTTTGTTCAAACACAAATTTGTTAATTTAGGGGAAATCCTCTATCAAATCTATATCAACCAAAAGAAACAACTTAAATGAATTACATTTTGGTTTAAGTACAGATCATTTCATATAGTTATTTTAAATAAATCACTCTAACATTCAAGACACGTGCGTGCTATTTTTGCTCGTAAGCTAAGAAATATCAACACATATGTAATATGTGTATCCTGCAGTACCTTACACTTTTAGACCCTTCACTATAAATGAACCAGTTTCATATTAAGCCATATAAAGACTCGCATGATATAAGATTTCTGACATATGCTTTAACTGAGATACCTAGAGTCTTACTATTGACACACGAATCTTAACAGTCAACCATAAGTTGTTAATCTTACTAATATTATAAATGCGAAAGTTTAGATGGATGGATGGATGTTTGTTAGCGTTCGAAGCCTAAACGGCTGAACGGATCTCCATGAAATTTGGCACAGGTTTAGAGCATAGTCTGGAAGAACACATAGGCTACTTTTTATCCCGGGAATAGTTACGGTTCCCGTGGGATTTATTAATTTAGTTTTTTAATGTTCACTCGATCATTCTGCAACGGTTCAACATATCTTATTGAAATTTGACACAGATATAAAACAAAGTCTGGAGTACACATGAGATAAGCTTCATCCCAGAGAAATGTGCGGTTCCCGAGGGATACGTAGCTTTTTGTAATTTATACAGTTCGTATGTTTTCTAATACCACGCGGACGAAGTCGCGGGCAACAGCTCGTAATATAATATTGAAACATCGACGAATAACATAGCACATTTTTTTATAATGGCAAACATCTTACTATTAAAACGCGCAAGTGACATTTACGAAATGGCAAAATCTAAAAGCACAATTAGAATTTTCAATAAAATTATTATTTAATTGTAATTGCTTTTCTTAGTATAGTTGAGATTGAAATGTTAAAATTCATTAAAATGCAAAGTTGCAGTCTTTATTGATAGATGTATCAATCAGGTTACAAAACAATTGAATGTCAATTATAAAAGAAAAAAGGTAGAAGTTTTTTAATGATTGGAAACAATCGAAGGTCAATTTATGTCTATAACTGAATAGACGTGTTGAGTCCACAAAAAATGTATTGCTCTATTTCGTATTACAATAATTTTGACAACTGAAAAAACAAATATAAACGACAAAATTATTAAACATTAGCTTTTGCCCGCGACTCCGTCCGCGTGGAATTAAAAAAAAAAAAGTGAACAGCCTATGTGTTCTTCCAAACTATCGTCTACATCTATGCCAAATTTAATCGAAATCCGTTCAGCCGTTTAGGCTACAAACTCTAACAAACATCCATCCATCTAAACTTTAGCATTTATAATATTAGTATGATTTAAGTTTTTCTACCCTTAACTGTAATGAAGGTACAATCAGACAGATTTTGTGTTCTCGATTTAGCAAATTCATGTCGTTCAAATCAAAAGTTTTACGTAAACTGCAATTATGTTCGCCTTAGTACTAAGAACCTTTTCCAATATAAGTAATATTTATAGTTAAGCGTGCTGCCTTTCACAGTCCACTCGCAGTCTAGTACAGCAATAACCTTTGTTTATGTCCATTATTTCATGATTTACGACCACAAAAACAGTTTTTTTTTTGCTATATAGTTTGCATGTGTCATATAAATAATTTAAGTCTATTATACAAAATTGTAACAATTGTTTAATTTACAAATAAGATAAAAAAGAATGGGACTCATTGAATTAATTAAAAAACTTTGTGTTTATAAGGGAGGGAGGGTGTTTTAGCAGTGGAGAAAAGAAAATAACATAGTTTTCAAATAGTAAATTATGTACTAGTCCAAATAATTAAAATTTGAAAATACTTTACTTTTTTTTTGTGTATTCCAATAAAGTGTCTTGAATATTTTTGTTCTATTTTCGTGGAAACCAATTGTTAATAGAGCGTCGAACTTTAGTGTCACACAAACATGACATGACAAATTTGAAACGGTTTAAACGGATGTCTGTCAGACGTGGTTCAGACAGAAAATGTATTGTTTTCTCACTCACTCATTACGAGACAACTGAGCCATAAACTGAAAATTACTGGCCATCTGTTTCTATTGGCAAATCTTTAAAACTATTCAAAGAATAAAAAAAGCTGCTTTAATAAGCGGCTAATATCTTTTGATAAGATAATCAACACTTAAATCAATAAAGGTCATTTCCTTATTTCACAATGCATTTCCATAATCAGATAATTAAAAAACTTACTCAAATGTCAAAAGTCAGTTTTTAATTACGTGAATGATGACATTTATGTAACAATGTCGCATATTAATTAGATGTTTGGAATACATGTGACATAAATAAAAGTAGGCAGATGTTACAATAATACCTTATTTATATTTCTTTCTAATAACTAATTCTAACTTAAATAAAGAATAAGTGCATCCTAGTTCAAATAAGTACATCTAATTAAAGTAATTTTTTAAAAAACCTCGCTTAAGTATTATTATGTATTACATATATCTTTAAATGATTAAATAAGGTGGAATTGGAACACCTTTATTTAATTTTAAACTTTTCAGTTTTCATATTAGAAATGTACTAAAACCACAATCTTATACAAAAAAAATGAATGTATCACCGTCATCTGCGTGGAATTAAAAAAAAAGAAACTAGCCTATATTTTCTTCCAGACTTCAAATACATCTTCACCAAAATTCATCTATGTCCGGTAACAAGTTTAGGCGACAAACTCTGACAAATATCTATTTATCTAAACTTTCGCATTTATAATATTAGTTAAGGAAACTTAACATAACCACAGAGTGAACGTATTTACACCGTTGACTACTCAAATAAGAAAATATTGGTAGCATTCACTATTTCCGTTATTGTTTTTTTTTTAAAGTTTAACGCAATTAAGCTCGGACACCGTATGAATCAGCGTAAAAGAGAAGGTAAGGTTCCTGTTCGCTCGAT